GTACATTGTATATCCTGTGACCAGCCACTGGGGATTCAATCCCTATAACCTACCAGAGATCACTGAGTATTCATTATGCTTGGGGTCAGGCGGGAACAAAAGTTAAAGAGAGCTGGAACTTGCCATTAAAGGCTATATAGTCCAGTGGAAAAGAAAGACAATCAAAAGCAAAAATTCAAAAATCAGTAAGATTGATGCATCAGGTCTCTCAAAGTATACTGTTAGCACAGTAGCTATCTGGAAGGGCCATGGAGTGAGGTGAGCTTGAGAGGAACTTCAAGGATGCCAAGGGTTTCCTGAAGTCACAAAGGGCGGTAATGGTAGATGGTGTGTGCGTTCACAAAGGTCTGGAGAAGGTATAGCAAAATTTGTCTCTTAAGGAACCGTGAGTTTGCTGGGCAGTGGTGGCACACGCCTTTAATCCCAGCACTTGGGAGGCAGAGGCAGGCAGATTTCTGAGTTCAAGGCCAGCCTGGTCTACAGAGTGAGTTCCAGGGCAGCCAGGGCTACACAGAGAAACCCTGTCTCAAAAAGGAAAAAAAAAAAAAAAGAACCATGAGTTCATGGTGTGTCCAGAGCCTGCTCAACAACAAGGCAGAGCAAAGGCCGTGTTTCAGGAGCTAATTCATCCCCTGAGGACACTTGGTTGTCACAAAGGGAGACATTTCAGCACTCTTGGTACCAAGTAGACAAAAGTCAGGAGTTCCTTCGAACATCTCAGTCAGTGTTCCAGGCACTCCCACAACAAACCCCAAGACTCCAGAGTGCTTCCCAGTATCTTTGGTCTTTCTCTCTAGAGAGGAACAAGAGGAACACTAAGGGACATGTGGGGTGTCCGGTCCCACGGTCCAGGGTTCCCCTTCCTGCATCTCAACCAGCCCTTCCTGATTTCCTATCAGTTCACTTTCAAAAAGCCTGAATCCATTGTCGGTCCTCAAATTACTGATAAAAAATATTAAACATAAAGCTTTGAGGGACAAAGTTCACAGCATCATGTACCTAGGAACCACTTTCATCCCTGATTGCCTTTTTATTTCCCTTGTTCTGGAGTCTAAGAATTACTTAGTTGTAACAGTCTTAGTGCCAAACTCTTACAGTCTCGGCACTAAGTACTCCTCACAGAGGTTGTTGGGTGTACCGTCTATCCTGGAGCCTAGATAAAAGACTCTTCCAGATTCCTGGATTTACATCTGGGCACTGAGATTCTGAGAGCAGGCTCCCTGGCTTCCCTCTGGTTTGAGGTAGGACATTCATATAACCTGTTGACTGCAGGGAACCTCCAGCTCCCTGAGAGCAAGCCTGTCAGTCAGAGAGCCTCTTGCAGCCAGCGTGGCAGGGACAGCTGCTCTCTCGGCTCATGTTCTCCGACCAGGAGGTGTTCCCAACCCTGTGATCTGGCCCTTCTTCCAAAGTGGCAGATGGGACACAGGTGCCCGTCATGAAGCCTCACCCCCCCCACACACAGACACACACTGGGCATATCTGACCACTCATCACCCAACAGAGGACAGCACAGTCAGCTGAGTAGTGGGCTCCTTCCAAGTGGAACCCCCCAAAACTGCTGACTGCCATGCAGCTGCCCTCAGCACCAAGCCATGCCAGGTCATGCACTGCAGAAAACCTTGTTGTCGACCCTGGCTGTCCCAGTGATTTGTTCAAGGCTTATTTGTCTATGGTTAAAAATTTATAACATGACAGTCTTTGACCTCAATGACTCATTGTGATCTAATTTGCTTCATCCCCAAAGTCATTCAGGAAAAAGACCCTTCTCCTCACCCTCGTCATCTCTCAAAGCCTGTTAATTATGAGCCTAAGGAAAAGATCCTAGTCCATGAATTGTTGGCTAGTAATAAAATTCCATTTGGTATTTGGTCTACCTGCACCAATGTCAGAGCACACCCCAGAAATTTGTATCATCCCTCAAAGTTCCCAGCCTATCACAGGGTCCCAATATACTGCTTTTTTTGTAGGTCCTGATCCTACCAGCATGACCCAGATGCCCTCCCTACTGCTGCAGTTACATTCCGAGCCAGTAGTATTGCTCTTTTTCCTTCAGGGTCCAGCCACATTGCAAAGATCACAGCTGCGGAGAGCACCCCACTTCTGGCTATAGAGTGAAATGAAAACGGGAAGCAAGAGTAGATGGAAGCCGAGCATGATGGTGAACACCTTCAATCCCAGCACTTAGGAAGGAAAAGCAGGCAGATCTCTGAGTTCAAGGCCAGCCAGGTCTCCATAGTGAGTGCCAGGCCAGCAGAGACTACATAGTGAAATCATGTCTTTTTTTTTTTTTTAATGCAGACAAGAGAAAGTAATTAAAAAGAGCCAGAAAGAGATGCTAGTGGCTGTGGTGATGATTCCACAGTTGAGAAAAGGAGGGGCAAACTATGGGTATATGTTATAAATGTAGTCAGAGGTACTCAATCACCTGACGGTGGAAGGGATGTATCATCCCCCTTGTCACCCTGATCAACTGCCTGACAAGAAGCACCAAAAGGGAAGAAGAATTTATCTGGGTTCATGACTTTAGGGGATGTAGGCCATGATGGTGGGGAAGGCAGGGATGTGAGAGGAGACAGTAGCTTCTACAGGAAGCAGAGTGGGGTTGAGGTCAGAGGTAGAGCAAGGTTGTAACTCTTAAAGCCCACCCTCCAGTGACTCACTTCTTCCAGCTAGGCCTTACATGCTAAAGGTTCCACAACCTCCTAAATAGAACTACCAAATAGGAATCAAGTGTTCAAGTGCATCAGCCTAAGAGGGATATTCTGTATCTGAACTATCAATCACCCTACCAGGGGACCTTGCAACAGTGAAGGAGGGCTACATATACTCGTATCAGCACCAAGACTCTGGTCCCATAACATAACATCTCTCTCTTGGGTGCAGTACCCATCTCACATAATGTAAGTGTTTGTACTCTCTGTGAAGTGTTTTCTGGAAACGTCACAGTCCTCCCGCTCTGTGCTGATCATCACCTCCAGCTCCTAAGCATGCTTCTCACGTGCTTCCTTGGCAGGCTGGCAGGAGGTTAAGGACTGCTCGATCCAGGGTGGAGGCTCAGCATGGAGCTATGAGCCATTAGAGCAATGAGGTGACCACAGTGTCAAGTGGCTACTCTGTGTGATGGGGTTTCTAAAAATACACCCCCAGTCCTGCGGCTCTCGGGGCACCAGCCCTGCCCTCCCATGTGCCAGGCAGACAGCAGCGGGATGAGCAGCCTGCTGCCTCCTTACTCTGCTCGCTGCCCCTGCAGTCCAGGTCACCGGCTATTCTCAGCATTGGCTGTTGTATTAGCCACCTGCCTACTCTTTCTTCTCCATGTGGCGGATCAGGCGGTTATTGGGAAACACGGGGACCCGTTAAGAGGCCACCACATACAATGAGCAGAGCCCAGACTATGCAAGCACCTACTCCTTTACTCATTTGTTCAACATACACTAAGACGGTGGTGCCGAGTGCCTTTACCAGGTCAGGGTGGTAGTAAATGTGACACGTTAGGCAACAGGGAAGTTTAGGCTCTAGGACTCTACACACCACTCAAGAGCAGCCCATTGAAGTCTGGAATGATAGAGGTCAGGAGACATCTTAAGAGATGGAGTGGGGAAAGGCATGTGGAGTAGTCCTTAGGCTTGGAAATGTGTTGCCCATCACAGGGGTAATTATATGACACACACTGCGTTGTACAATATTAAAAGCTGTATTCTTTAATTCGTACCTGTTAAGCGGCAGTCCTTTTTGTAGTTGTAGGTGAAGTATATTTTTCTTTTACTCTTAAGAGCTATATACACACCTGTGACTCAAGAACAGGAGAGAAACGCTACGCTCACATTTTATCAGGGCTTCTATATTTCTGATGGGTGGGATAGTGGTAAAGATTAAATTTACTCCTTTATCCTTTTCTGGGTTTCCCAATTATTCTACACCAACTACATCCTGCTTACATAATGAGATTAGATATGCTAAATGTTATTTTTAAACATTTTCAAAGTGCGAGCCCTTGAGATGAGCCAGTGGGCAAAGCACGAGGCAGGTGGCTGTCTTCCCGGGGCAAAGCCGGCTCACGAGCTTTCGTCCTGTTCCACAGCAAGGACACTAGCACAAGAGTGCTGTCCCTGTCTGTGGGATTTCGGAGCAGCTAAATTAAGCTCTTGGCTCTGTGGGGACTGAGGTAAGAGGAGCTGCTGGGGGAGCCCTCAGGGCTTTCCTGTCCTTGCTGGGGGCACACCAAGCCCCTCCTTACAGCTATGAGAACACACCTGACTCAGGCTCCAGCTGTGCTAACCTGAGACGGCTCAGGATCGCCAGCGCTAGCCAACCTGGACCTCTGGTTCAAAGAGGTGGGGCCATTTCAGAATCCTCTCCCACAGCCCATCAGCAAGAAGGAATAGCTGGTGTGTGGATTTAAAGATATAAAGAAGTCAAAAGGTACCTGTAGTTGGGAATTTAAAACTAAAAAAGAAAATAAAACCTTGAAAGCCCTACAGATGGGAGAAAATGGAATGAGGAGAGGGGCTCTGGTCCTTGTTTTTCTTTCTGGGAAATGGGACTACTTGGGATTAACAAACGAAGATGCTTATAGGAAGGGCTGGGGTAGCTTTTTATTGTACATTGATGTTGGGAGAGGCAGACAATGGTCCCTAGCCTAATCATAACAGAATCAGGGACAGATTTGTCTGTGTGCCCAAAGCCTGATTTCTGCACTGGCAAAGCCAACACTGTCCTGTGAGCAGCAGCTTGTGATTCACAAGTGTGTTTTATATTTCCAGCGTGGATCCTAAAAACACTCCCCCTTCTCTCCCACCCACCTCTCCAGACCCCCCAACACAAGCCTCCCACAGAGAAGTCAAGTCGTGTGACAGCTTTTCACCTCGAGCCAAGGCAGGAGCCAGTGGCCAGTTCTGCCCTGTGACACGCACACACATAGCCTCCAGCAGTCACATGGGTTCCAGCTGCCACCACTTGCCCTCTGTCCCTGACCTGGTACTCTTTCCCTGGCAGACCTCCTGAGCTGACTTGTCCCTCCAAGCAATGGCGTGGCAGACAGTTGGACTGAAGGACTGAGTGCCAACTGGCTCGGACTGCTCCATCGAAGCTGATCTCAAGGTGGGAACCCTTCCAGGAGTCTCCTGGATACCATGTATTGTGCCCCAGAGGGAATTAGGTCCCTTACTGGCCTGAAGTAGAAGTAGACAGAGCTGTTCACTGTGGGTTCACCGCAGCCAACCACAGCCAGGGGCCCCAGGAGCAAAGAACTTGAGCCCAGCATGCTGAGTGAGGTCATATAGGCAGTCAAGGGCATGTCCAGTGTAGCTCATGGGGAGACTAAAAGTCAGACGCTGGGGCCTTGGAGAACAGGGGAAAGGCAAATACAGAAGATGTCATCTGTATGAACACTCCTCAAACACAATTCAACAATAACAACAACAAATCCTACTCTGGCACAATGGTTCTCACCTGGGAACTGTTTTCTACAAGGGGACATTTGTCAATGTATGGGGACATGTTGGATTGTTGGAGCTGTGAAAATATCACTGTCATTAGTGGAGAGGCCAGGGATGCAGTTGTAAAGTGTTCTAGGATTGGCTGGCCCCAGTATGGATGATGCTGTGGTACTCAAGCCCTGGTCTGAGAGAAGGCATTCCTGAGGAGTATTTGAACTAGGGTCTATAAAATCAACCCAGAGGAATAAGCCATGGCTGTCATTTCCAGACATGGAACCCTTCAGAGCCTGCCCAGCATCTCAAATTGAAAGCCAAGGCCTCAGCAGGCTACAAGTTTCCCTTCCACAAGCTTGGCCCGACTTCCCCCTGGACTTCACCTTTCCCTGGGTTTTGTCCAGGCCAAACAAATCCACATGCTCTATGCACTCCACAGCTCTTCACTAGGTAGAAAGGCTTCTGTTTCCTATCTAGGATTCTCTCCTCTCACTTCTGTCAGACAAATACCCTTCCTGTTGAGTCCAGCTGTGACATTTCCTCTTTCCTTGTAGGTGTCCCACATCCTCCAGAAAGCCACTCTGCTGTGGCCTCATCCAGGGTAGGTGCTGGATTGGTTGTGTAACAGACTCTGCCACCAAACTGAGCTCCCTCAGCATACAACTTCTCTTCCCAGTGCAGAGCAGACCTTAAACAGTGGGAGCTGTTGGCTGGTCATTGGTCTTCCCCTGACCATGTAGTAAAGGAGCACTCCTGGCCTTTAATGACAGAATATACTTGGGGAACTGAAGACAATACAAAGGAGGAATGTGATGTCAGCTGGATCACCAAAAGAAGGCAAGAAAGCTAGGGAGACCACACAGCAGAGTAAAAGTACTTGCCCTGAAGATGTGAGTACCAGAGGGCAGCGCCCCAGAACCTTTGAGGTAGGAGGGAGGGAGGGATGGAGGGAGAGGGAGAGAGAGAGAGAGAGAGAAAGAGAGAGAGAGAGAGAGAGAGAGAGAGAGAGAGAGAGAGAGAGAGAGAGAGATCCCCAGAGCAATCTGGCTAACTAACCAGAACCAGCAAGCGCCAGGTTCAGCAAGAAGTCCTGTCTCAGTCAGTAATAGTGACTGAGAACCTTGGCATCATTTAGGATCAAAAGAACAAAGAACAGAGCAGGTAATGCTACTAAAACAAGCACTTTGCACTGTTTCCTTGACACTTATCCATTAAAGATTTTTACATTATAATTTTATGGCTTCAATTCTGATTGTTTAGGAGGCATTATCACTTTCCTTGTAAAGAAATATGCTGTGTATCATTTCCTAAGACACAAATGGACAAGAAAGAGTTAAATCACTAATTATATAAATAATAGTGAAGGAGACATGCATACATATTCACATATGCAAGTATTCATACGCACATGTACTCATTACACACACATGCATACACACAACACACACATACACACAGAAGGAGGGAGATAGAGACAGGAAAGAATATTGACAGACCAAGGAAGACTCAGGGAGTCATTCAGTGTGAGATACCAAAGGTGAGGCGGCCCCCAGCTCCAGAAGAGGCTCCGTAGGCTTCTGACACACCTCAGGCTGGCCATGAAGCATCCAAGAGCAGGATTTCTGACAAGTGCTTAGCAGTGTTTGGCGTGAAGAACTCATGTTTTTCTCAAATCACCCTCATACAGAAAATGAAATGTTAAGATGCCTTTCTATTTTACATGATGAAGATCTCTATGCTCAAGGAGGTGAAGAGATTGTCTCCAGATTCCCAAGTCCTGCTCCTTCCCTCCTTCCCTTTGGGCTGTGACACAGCATTCTGTGTCGGCCAGGACAATATCAAATGGCTTGTTTTTACATCATTGATTTTACTTTGATGAGCATTCCCAGGAGTCAGCAAATGACAAGCTGTTCTCCAATACATCCTGTATCCTTGTTTTGAGGGAGCTGTGTTGGGATGTAGTTGAACAATAGTGAAACGCATGTATTGAAAGTGTATAGCTGGGTTAGAATTGGCTTGTTTAGGTTCACTGTAACCCCTCAAATTAAAATGATGTCTTCTCCTATATTTTCCATTGTCTCCACTTTTCTTCACGATCTTCACAGGCAGCAACCATTGACCTGTTTTCCATTGCTATTGGCTAATTTTCAATTCCTTAGCATTTACATAAATGTACTCATGGTATTCACTATCTTATTTGTCTTCAGCCACACAATACAACTACCCTGATGTTCAAGTATCTTATGGCGTGGCTCAAGCGCCCACTCCTTTGTATTGTCTAGTAGCATTCCAGTGAACCTTTACATGACAAGTTGTTTACCCATTTACTTGCTGGTAGATATTTCCAGCTTGGGATAATTACAAATAAAGCTTCCATGGCCATTTGCAAAATGGTCTCTGTGTGTACACGGTCTTTATCTTTGTATCAGAAATGTCTGTGTCATAGGATCAGTGTATACTTAACCTTTTAAGAGATTGTCACATTGTTTTCCAAAGTAATGGTATCATTGTACAGTTTCACCAGCAGATGATGAAAGTTCCAGTTCCCCTGCATCCTCACCAATACTAGGAATGATTAGTCTTTTTAAGGTTTGCTGTTTTCGTGGGTAGTGGCACCACACTCTGACTTAGTTTCCATTGAAGATGTTGGACATATTTTCATGTGCTTACCTCCCAGCCATCCATCTTTACTGGTGAAATGTCTACTCAAAGACAGACATCTAGAATTTTTTTTCTTCTAGATGTCAAACACAGTTAAGATTGTAATTGTGAACCTGGTTTTTGGAACCAACCAGATCTGGTTTTATTTTCTGACTTGAGCACTCGTGCAATATAGAAAGTGTCTTACCTTTCTAAACTTTACTCTCTTCTGTATGAAATGAAAAGACTACAGCTAATAAACTTTTGGGTGAAGATCAAATAATGTCTGTGAAGTACCCGACTTAAGGCTCTACACACAAATATTAATAAATAGTATTCAAATTATCATAATGTCTTCCACTGATCTAATCTGAATTATCACCAAAAAAAGACCTTTAGTATATCTCAGAAAACAATCCCCATGAGGTACATAATAAGTGGGATTTAGTACAAATTGTATCAGAGCCAAAGGAGCCCTTAGAGATATTGAATATAAGCCCATACTTGGCTCAGGTCCTCCAGAAATCAAAGCCCAAGGCAAGAACTCCAATTTGGGGACTTTATTTGAATGGTAAAAACACAGTGATCTGAGCAGGGGAGAAAATGGAGACATGAGACCGTTAGCATGCAAAGTACCACTACCCCTAAAAGATGCCAAAGAGATATGCTTGGTCTCATGGGCAACTTAGAGCAAGGAGCACGGCAAGAGAGATAAACTGTGTGTACAAGACTGAGCCTTGTCATAGGCTAGTGTCTTGGCTTCTTTTTCTGCTCCAGATAAGACAGCACTCAGACAAAAGCAACTTAAGAAAGCAAGAGTTTGTTTGAGCTAACAATTGCAACATGCAGTCTCATCATGGAGAGGACGGCAAGGCAGCAGGAGCTTGAAGCAGCTGGTCAAGCGACATTTCAACTGCAGTCAGAAGAGAGCGTGGATGAATCCACACTAGTACTCAGCTTCTCTCTTCTTCATTCGGTCCAGGACCCGGCTCAGGAAATGGCAGTAGCCATATTCAGGGTAGGTCTTTCTAACTCAGTTAACCCAATTGAGAAAACCCTTCCCAAGCAGTCTTGGAGGCCCAGCTCCCTGGTGATTCTTGATTCTGTCAAGTTAACAATACCACTATATTAACAATAATACAATGGCCATAAGCACATTCCTGAGTCAAGGTTTTGAGGGTGTGGGGTTTGGAGGGAATATATCCCAGACGCCATTAGTATTTAGAGGAGGGATGGGGATAAGGAAGGAAAAGGCAGAAAGCTAATCCACAGTGTGGAGAGGAGCAGGTTTCTCTGATGGATGTCAGGAGCTCAGTCCTACTGAAGATCTTTGGGAGACAATAGGAAACACATTTTAGGGTTCCTCACTATCCCCCAAGGAAATAAAAATGGACCCAATTGCTAGCAGAAATGAATCTTTGGTTTGTATTGAAACATTCAGTGCCACATCTGCCCCATGATGAGGGTAGAGATGTCAGTCATCAAGCTTTTCCTTAAAAGGACAGAGTAGAGCTGTTCCAGGTCTGCAGCCCAGTTGGTTTCTGTTGCAACTGGCCAACCCTGAGGTTGTAATTCAGACGTAAGCAATTTGTAGACAAATAGGTATGGCTGTGCCCTGCCACAATCTTATTTTCAAAACCAGGCAGGCTGACTGCAGGTCATAGTCTTCAGATCCACGGGGTACCAGCACAATACATCCCATTTATCAGATGGAGAAGCTGAGACCAAGTAGAGAAAGGGAGCTAGTTGTGTAAGCAGGCTGAGACACATCTGACTTTCTGACCAGTACTCAGTGATGTCCATCTTGCAAGTCCTGTGTTGAGGGAACTGGCAGACAGAATCCTTTTGGGAATTATCCACGTAACCTCTAATTCTTCGACGCATCAGTTTGTTTCCTCTTGTTGGCTAGAAAGGCTCCAGGGACTGAAGCCTTCCAGTCTCCAAGAATGCCACAAAGTAACTTCCTGTCCCACGTCACTGACCGAGGCTGCTTTGGAAGCCTCCCCCGGGGCCAGGCCCTTTGCCATCAGCCTCAGCCTCAGAAGCCTTGGCATTGCATCTCCCAGGCCTGGCCACAGAGCACAGAGTGAAAAAGCAGTTAGAGCTTTGGATCCTGTAAAAACTCTAAAAATATCCAGGAATGTGTGCACATATGTGGCCCTTCTGTGATCAAAACATCTGGAGAGAAGATCAAATCCTGCTTTAATCAACCTAAACTTATGCAAAAACTGTGGGTAGGAGCGGAAGTTCAGTCATTCACTTTACTCGAGGGGAGAGAAAGGACATCACAAAATTTGTGGTTGTTGTTGTTCTTCTTTCTAAGACAAAAAATAGGAGAATCCTTCCCTGGGGTGAGACCTGGACCTCTGCTTCCTTGGGATCCTGGGGATTATTTCTCCTAAGGGAGAACATGGGTGGAAAGTTCATGGCTACAAGCTAGGATTCCTGATTTGATGTTTTTTTTTTAATTTTTAAAGAAAAGGACAATTAAAATACTAAGTCCTTTAGTGAAAAACATTAGGCGGGACATCAAATGACCAAATGACACCTTCAAATGTGGGATTTGAAGAAGGGCTGTTGTAACCAGGCATTTGCAAGATAGAGAACCTGAGACCTAAGGAGAGCTTGCCTGGTGGTGCAGCGAGTAGGAAGGGGCAAGGCTGACATGTGGTCATCTGAACTCTCAGCACACTGATGCACTGGAAAGAAGAGTTGGAGTCAAACTTCTGTTCTGGCTCTTCTTGGCTCTGCCAGAGGACCACCTCTGCTGAAGATGACTAGCTTTGCCTGGAGAAGCCAGGCTTAGAACCTGAGCAGCTGCTTGCTCTGAAGGATAAACAGAGGCAGGTGAATATGTACCATCTCCGTAACTCATTATGGCCCAGACTAGAATAGAGTATCTTGATTATTTGAGTTAACTGATGGCTGAATTCATTGGGACCCAGGCTTTCATCCTTGATTAGTAGCAAGTAACTAAACTCTTTCCTGATGCAAGGCCCTAGCTATAGGGCAAGGTACAGACTGCTGCCAAAAGCTTAGGCTGAGTAGCTATGCCATTTATCCACTCTGTTTTGATCTGAGCCACTCATGGCTCCTGTTGGCCTCTGAAGAGTGAGTAGAAGCTTTGCCCCTCACTGTTCCAACAGACAGGAAGACCCAGAGAAGGACCTCTAAAAGAGAAGATGCAGAAGAAGAAGAAGGCTCTTGGCTTAGCTTGCTACTTGTACACCAGAATTTCCCAGCCTGGCCTTTGTGGTGGTCCGTAATCCAAGCATGGTCTTGACTTATCCTCAAAACAGTTGTCACCAAGTATGCTTTCTAGAGGCTTCTGTTTCTCTCCAGTTATTCCAAAGACTTGTGTCCAGGGCCATCATGGCATAACTATCACTCATAAGAGAGGAAGTCATTCATCTCAGAACAACTCAAGCAGTGTCTCAGTAACTCCTTCCCTGGGTCCCTCTCCACTATTGCCACTTGGTCCCACATATGTCCATTGAGATGGGAGGTCCACACATCCAAGGTCTTTATGCGTACTCTTTAGTGCAGCCTCCCACTCCCTGTTCTTAGCTTAAAAGTCATGCTCTTTCTTACCATTCATGTGGTTAACAAGCCCCAGACTTCATACAGGACATCCAAGGACAATAAGTCATGACTACAGTCAAGCATCCCAGACTTGCCACCACCCTCTCAAGATGTCATTCTGTAACCCTTCCCACTCTGATCAGTCCACAGAAATATTAAATAAGCATGCTTTCTTTGCCACAAAGGAAAAACTCAAATTATATAGAGACCTCCCTTGCCTTTTATTTCTTCCTGCTCTGATTGATTTCAGCCCTAGACATTATAGGCCCATGTTGAAGAAACGAGTCTCTTGTTCTGCAGCTGCAAACAGACTGGGCCACCATCTCCCACAGCACCACCTCCCAGGTGGAAATCTCCAATCTTACAAAATCAGGAGTCAATCTGTCTGACAGGTACAAGGGAACAAGCTGAGATGCCCATTGGTTGGCCCCAAATCTAGACACAATGGAAGAGTTAAGAATTAGAGGAAAGGTCCCATGAGGAATCAGGCAAGATTTTCCTACTCAATGATTGCAGCTACAGCACTTAAGTTGGAAAAAAACAAACTTTGAGAGCCTATTGGCTGCAGACCACTTTCTGGAGAGGTAAGCCGCCCTCTTTGTGCCTTCTAGAACATTTTATTCACAGACTGCACTCTTCTGACCTGGGTGATGGGGTACTGCCCTACTGTAATGCTAAGATAACAATGGCAAAAGAATTTCACACATTCACTTGCCTGCCCTAATGGCTTAATACAGCTGCCCAAGGCATCCATCCAGAGGAGAAAGATTCTAGGTTTGTCAAGAAGGAAGGAAGAAAGGAAGGGAGGGTGGGAGGGAGGGAGGGGGGGGGGGAGGGGGGGAGGG